CTCAAAAACCCTGACTGTAAGACCTTGTTTATCTGGTTAAAGGTGCATCCAGCCTTTTTTTCAGATGACAGTTTGACAAAAGGAAGTGAAAGAAGGATGTAGTGAAAATGAAGAGGAAGTGAAGCTCTGTCAAAAACGAGTTTTAGATACTCACCAAAACTAGACAAATCTGTAAAGTGAAAGGCAAGTCTGTCTGTATGTCTGTATGTCTGTGTGTGTGTGTGTGTGTGTGTAAACTGATCCACTTGTCCTGGATTCCCTGCTAAACTTAGCCAGGTGACAGTGGTCAGGACTGGTTGGTCATCAGCTCAGTCCACAGACCAGATCCTGGTCCTGGATCAGAGCATGTGTCAGATTAACAGACGTCTGAGAACCTGCTGCTCCGAGCGGCTGCTCTCACACTACGGGAACTTAATGGTGTACATCGATCTGACAGCAGGGGGCAGTGCTGGAAGACTGCGCTCCACTTTCCCAACTTGAATCTGTGCTGCCAGCCATGTCTTTCTGTGGACCACTGAAAACTTTTCTTTACTTTGGACTTTTTATCTCTCTGCTTATCCAACCTGAAACCCCTCAGCTGTGGAGAGAGCGTCTGCTGTGATAACTGAGAAAAACTCCAGTGAAATCTACAGATGCACTCACTTCAAAAACCCTTAGAAAGTTCAGAAACTGTTGGATTTAATACAGTTTGGTTTTGGCCACAGGGGTGGAAGAAGAACTATTACACTATCAGACCTCGATTTACACGTTAGTACTAATCAGTACTAGTGAGTAGAAAGAATGCAGAGACACACCTCAAATTCTATTGCTTCAGATTCTCTGTCTCTGTCAGTTATTGCTGTCGTTGTGTCAAGGCCTCACATGGTGACATCAGAACCATTCAGGCTCCAGGATTTAACAGAAGCTGCTGCAGCCTTGAAATACTATTGAAAACATGAAAACAAATCTAGAAGAAAAACTACTGCACCGTCTCCTCGGCCCTGATGAGGATGAGGATGAGGATGATAGTGATGATGATGAAGATGATCAAGATGATGATGATGATGAAGATGAATGATGATGATGATGATGATGATGATGATGATGATGATGATGATGATGATGATGATGATGATGATGATGATGATGATGATGATGATGATGATGATGATGATGATGATGATGATGATGATGATGATGATGATGATGATGATGATGATGATGATGATGATGATGATGATGATGATGATGATGATGATGATGATGATGATGATGATGATGATGATGATGATGATGATGATGATGATGATGATGATGAAGGCTGCTGTGTGACTCTCAACCTTCAACCTTAACCCCAGCAGCCAGTGGTGGAGGGTGGCTAGAAGAGTATGTATTATTAATGACATCCAGATTCCTCACATGAAAGACTGTCATTGTGTGTGAACATAAAGAGCCACTGTCTCCCCTTCCTCCGTCACCCTGTTCAATTAACTCTTTTCTTCTCTTCTCACATCATGCATGTCTTTCTTTTCTGTTTTTTATCTTTTTTTTATTTAGTTTTCACACTGGTAAAGCGGTGCTTCTGAATATAACAGTGTTTGTCTTTTTATTTATTTTTTCATTGCCAATGGGTCAAAACACTAAATTGATAGACTTAGAACATTTCCTCCAGTTGTTTAAAGATATTTTTGTTTTTCTTTCAGAATTCTGAGATCAGATGTGAAGTAGTGAATAAAACAGATTTTGTTTATCTCTGTGTGTTACGGCTGGTTATGTTTTATTTAATTGACTTATTATTCAGTTTTAAATGACACGTGAGTTTCCAAATACAGCCTGTTCTCTTCTACGTGAGCTGAGAAAAACAGGTGAACTCCTGCAGGTGGGCATATCTATGGTTGGATGTGACTCTGCTGACCTCCACTGGACAACATGCACAACTGCAGTGTGGAGTGGAGATGGTACAGCACAGATTTGTGGCAGAAATTGTTAACACGTGTCAGACTATTACCGTGGCTGGATTCCACTTTGTTTTTGTTCATTTCATCTTGCCTCATTTGAAACCAAACCTTTGTTTATTGTAAATAATTTAAAACCATTAACATTTCATCTGTTTAAAAGCACAAATGTGCTGATGTGCAACAAATAAGACTTAAATGCATGACGTACCGTATGTCACTACCACCACTGTGACTTGTGATACAGTCAAATGTTCTCTGTACTGCTTTAAATAAAACAATGGAATATTTTAATGTGTGATGTGCAACAAATAAGACTTAAACGCATGACGTACCGTATGTCACTACCACCACTGTGACTTGTGACCTGTGACTTGTGACGAGTCATGTCTGATGGCAACAGTGTCACTTTAACCTAATTATCTATGAGTGACCCATCAATCCTAACTGTGCCCACATTAATATGCACCCCCACCTGGTCCTAGTCTTGATCCTGGCCCTGATCTTTGTTGGTCTGCTGTGGTGAATACACTCTGTCTGGAGGGAGCCCAGTCTGAATACTGTCTGCTGCTTAGGAAGACGTTTCTATCTAATTATCAAAGGTTTGGTAAATCTGCTTTGGTGGGGGCGGGGGGTCAGTCAAGGTGATCACTCTCACATGTGATCACCTTGATGTGACAATCTACATCTTATCCCACAGCCCCCTGGGGGAGGCAGAGCCCGGGTTATCTTTGTGCTGTTGTTGGTCTGTTTTTTTTTTTAAGAGATCTCAAACCCACATGACAAGACCGTCCACATATTTGTCTTCCAGTTCCCTGGAGGTAAATGCTGATCCCTCTGTGTGTGTGTGTTTGTGGCATTTTGCAGGTTCGTCAGAGTGAGAGGTTATTTTGGGGTTTAATAGTTAAAAAGAATTAGGATTAAATTAGCAATATACTTTTTGTGTAATACTTACAGTTAAACTAAACGGATGAATTACACCTCTGTGAGTGCTCACAAGACTCAGATATATCAGGAACTCTACTGGGTTCCTGATGTGACAGCGGAGGACAATAATTGGACTTTACTTCCTGGTTCAGGACAGGTTATAAAACTCTTTATAACTGGTTTTTATAACGTAGCTCAGAATCCTGATCCAGATCAAGGACCAGAAGCTGCTCGTCCTTGTATCTGTGTCATGGTAAATAAATTGTTTTTTGCAGTAATAGTGTTGCATGTCCTTCATATTTCAACAGTCACCGTGATGAGGACTCCGTTCATCGTCTGACCACAGATGGTCTGTCGGTTGCATCGCTGTCAGTGATTGGTTGATCAATTAAAAGCAATCGATCCATCAGACATTTTCTCAGCCATGCCTCCAGGTCATACGTCCACTCTTTGGTCATCACTGTTTTCTGCTCATGAGCATTGATTGGAAACAATTGTCAATTTACCCCCAACAGCAGGACAGTGGTGAACTAATAACGACAAACACATACAAAAGATAAATGAGTTGTAATTTTATCACCGGCTTCTCACATGCTGTTGGACGAGGGCCGAAGATTACAGGAGCCTAAGGTCTGAGGTCAGCTGATCAGCCCTCCCTCCTGATGTCGTTCAACGTTGAGCATTTCCTGACCTCTTAACAGCAACTACGACGAAGTGGTTTCAATTTTTATCAGCTATGCTTTCCGCATTATTTTGAATAAAAGGTCAGTCACCTGGATTTGTTCCCTGAAATATGCACAAGGAAGAATTCAGTGTGTGCGTGAGAGTCAGTGAAACCGAGTTGCATCAAGAAAACAAAACAAGTACAGAGGTGCTTAGACCTACAAGACAAAAGGAGTTTGATGTGTCACATGTAGGGTCATGTCTGACAGAAGCACTGAGGTGAGTCACTTCCTCTCTCTCCCGCTCCTGTCACTGTGTTGTCACTGATCTGAACATCGATGACTCAGGCACGGACTCACACTGAGATTGAGTTTTGGCTTCAGGTGTTTGAAGCCAAAAAAGGCAAAGTTTTAATCTGTTGGGCCACTTTGACCCTAAATAATTCATTCTCTTTGAAATTGTTTATCAGGCTGGGCCTGATAAGAGCTAAAGCTCATTCCCACTTGACAACACACAGATACATCTGTTCCCGGAGTTTGACCCAGAATTAATAATAGAGCTCTCCAGGATTATGTGTGTCATTATCACCTGGTCTCGAGTTTATACAACACAGATATGATGCAACTGCACCAACTGCACCATGATGCATGTGAAAAACATACAGAACAGAAAAGTTGTTGTTCCCCACAAGGGTTAGAGTTAGGGTATATATGTCCAGCTGGTGTGTGGCAATCAGATTTACATGGTCAGCTGGACATTTAGATCTGAAGCAAGACTAAACCCGACCAAAGACAATTTGATGTAACATGCTATGAAGGGAAAATTCCAAAACCTTTTCATTTTACAGCAGCTTCATAAGTCGTACTAAATTTTACCAAAAACGTTCCTTGTTCTCAGTTTTCAATACTGTTTGAATTGTTAAAATCTTCTCTTTTTTTTTCTCAGACCGCATCACACTCCTACTGCATGATACTTTAGTAAAAAAAACATGTCCATTACTGTAAACCATATACTGTAAACCATGTTCAAAATCACTTCTGGCTTTCCTTAGTAACTTGTTTCTGTGGACTGCAGGTGGCTCTGTTCAGCTTTTATATGGGTTAGGATAGGGCAATTTGACTGTTGACAGCAGTTTGGCCTAGGCATGTGTCTTAGATTTACCACTTGTTTTAAATCACAATGACTGACGTATGCGAAAAAATACATATGTCAGTTAAAATTAATCACATTTCCTTGCAAATCTTCAAGAACACTGTGTTTTTGTAAGTTTTGCAATGAGGTGACCTGGAAAAATTACAGTCCACAGGCTTTTCCAGTAAAGTTACGTGGATGTGACTCAGTTAATCGTAAACCCGAGGATCAGCTGTGTCGAAACTAAGGTGTGGCAGCTCTGTGTGGGTTCTTGATGGCAGCACTCGCGCTGACTGTGCGTTAAAAGCCGCACTGCACCTTTAAAGAAACTCAGGAACATTTCTAATGACGTAACACGCAAGCGGCTGGCGGAGCGTGGGCAGGATACGCAGCAGTCCCTGATGTCAAGCCATCTATAAAACGCGAGAACTCCACTGGAAGTCAGATGAAAGGATATTTTCACTACTTGAAAAATAGAAATTAACAACGTCATCACTCAAAATAACACGTCCTGTAAGTGTAAAGTTTGTAAAATTGCTCTTTAAAGGAAAATTTAAGCGACAAGAGGACTTGTGGAAAGATAGTAGCGCGATTCATTGTTTATTTTGAAAGTTTAAACCGGAACTGCTTTATCTCTGATACCGCGAGTTTTACTTTAACATAGAGCACAACGAGCACACGGCGACTGTTGAAAGAAAACGGTGGAAGCTCGTTTAAGAACCGGCTCAGTTAACGTCTGGAGCTCAACATGACACCATACTTATGTCGACACTGAGTCCGAAACAACCGTGTTTACGCTCCAAGCGGCAATAGTTGACGACCACGCCCCGCAGACATCTAGTGGAGCCCGGAGAAAAACTGCCGGCGGAGGCGCAGCAGTGAGCGGTCTGAAAGCCAGCAGGTCGGCTAGCGGGCTCACAGCGGAGAGGAAGCGGGAGCGGCGGCCGTTCAGGGAAACATGAGGGAGTACAAAGTAGTGGTTCTCGGCTCCGGAGGGGTGGGGAAATCCGCCCTGACCGTCCAGTTCGTGACAGGGTCCTTCATAGAGAAGTACGACCCCACGATAGAGGATTTTTACAGGAAGGAGATCGAGGTGGACTCTTCTCCGTCCGTTCTGGAAATTCTGGACACAGCAGGGACCGAGCAGTTCGCCTCCATGCGGGACCTATATATCAAAAACGGGCAGGGTTTCATCCTGGTCTACAGCCTTGTGAACCAGCAGAGCTTCCAGGACATCAAGCCCATGAGGGACCAGATAATCAGGGTGAAAAGGTACGAGCGGGTGCCCATGATCCTGGTGGGAAACAAAGTGGACCTGGAGGGGGAGAGAGAGGTGTCGTCCGGTGAGGGGAAGGCACTGGCGGACGACTGGAGCTGCCCGTTCATGGAAACTTCAGCCAAAAATAAAAGCTCTGTGGACGAACTGTTTGCTGAGATCGTCCGGCAGATGAACTTTGCCCCTGCACCAAATGGCGACGATCAGTGCTGCTCGTCCTGTGTCATTCTTTAAGGAAAAGGACAAACCTTCAAGTGTTATTCTCTGCTCGGTTTTGAGTTTGCATTGGTAAGTCCTGACAACGAGCACCGGAGAACATTGGGGTCGGATCTACTGTCACTGAGTGTCAAAATAACGTGTTAAAACTTGCCAGTGAACACCACTCCAAAAACACTTCTTCAACATCAGAGGTTTGAGGGCCCTAAAAACTTAGCAAAACTTCTGAGGCCCACACCCAGATCATGTAGCACAACACTGGAGGCACTGCAGTTGAACTGTACTGTCCCAAACACTGGGGCTGCGTGAGTATTCGACGTTTAAACGTTATTAAACGACCACAGATAGTTGACAACTGAGTCAACAGTCTTTTAATAATTGGCACTCAGTTTTAGTTTATGTAAATCAAAGCCAGTTCAGATTTCAGCTGCTCGATGAATCCGTTTTTTTTCCTCTTCTGCCACAGTAAACTCAATGACTTGACGTGTTTAACATCTCCTTTTAAGTATTGAAATCACTGACTGACATTTGTGTCATTTGTTTTCTAGATGAAGCCATAACTAAATAAAAAATCCATCCTTCAGTTAATATAATAAGTCAAAAAGCGCCCCCTGCTGCTACCACTTAGTTATGGTCGTTAACTGTCAACCGTAATAATGTTGATCAAACCATTTGTGGTCCATAGAACAATCATGTTCCTAATTACTTTAATAGGAAGTATGTTATCACACTGTATTTCTTCATCTCGTAATTGATCAACAATGTTCACTCACTTTCGTAAATGTCCTAAATTCTACAGCCCACCTTTACCCACCAGTGAGCCGTGACCCACATTTTGGGAAGCACGGCTGTAACTTACTTAACTGTAGTTTTTTGTCACGATCAGTTGATCCGTCTGCATTTACTAACTGTCAGTATTTTGCGCACTTAAATAATAATGAATACTGAAATATCCTTAACAAAATACAATAAATGACATATTTAACAAGTTTAAAGAAACTGGAAAAGTTCAAATTTAACCGTTGACTGTGTGATTGGTGGACAGTTGACTAAATAACTAATCGATCACAGCCTGGTCGTTGCGTCTCCTCTGGTCCGTAGTGTACAGTACTGGATGTTTGACCTACTTAGTAACGGCTCACAGCGGTGCAGTCTTTCACTTTTCACTGTACTGACAACCGCTCCTGTCCCGACAGCGCAAGCTCTTGTCATTTATGACTGCTAACCTCTGAGATGAGACGGCAGAACGTCTCGTCGCTGTCCATTGTTTCACCTCAGCAGACGGAGGAGGTGTTTTTGTCACTCTCTCTCTGCAGAACTGGAGGAACGGGCTATAAGTGACTTAATTAGGTTGACTTAGCACGGTTGTCAGTTTGCAGTGCAGACTTGTTAAACCACAGCTCCAAATGGTATTTTCCGAGATGGGGTGAACTGGAGTTTGGACATTCCAGTGAACGTATTCATATATATATGATATATATTCATATATCAGTAGAATCTCCTGCAGGAACACGAGCAGCAGGTTGGCTCAATCTGGGCCCGAGTTCAGTAGAATCTCCTGCAGGAACACGAGGCGTTGATTAACTGTTGTTGTCTCATCTCTTCTTTTTGGCAGTGTGTTGCAGCAAGTGTGTACTGTTGAGCTCTTCATGTCTCGCTCTGGCCTTGGAGGAAAATGAAGAGAGGAATGCTGCAGGGGACAGGAGGAAGGGGGGGGGGTGTTGAGACAGAGGGAGGGGTCCACTCTTCAGGAATTCTGCTGGGTTGGAATATCAGTGGTCTCTACTGATGTCAACACAATGTCAGATCCAGGGTTTCTGCAGCGTCTCCCCACCAGTACCAGTAACTGCACCCCCATCCTGAACTAAACCCAAATGGAGAAGCTATTTAGATCAACACATGCTCACAAACGGATATTTCTTCATAAGAAGGAGAAGAGAGAGAGGGAGGGAGAGAGAGGATACAGAGAGTATATTTTGTTTAAAAACACAGACACTTCACAGTGGCCCAGCTGAGGATGAAGGTGACGTCTCTGCCTGGGCTCCTCTGGAACCACACTCCACAACAACACTCCAAACTCCTATTTTTCTCCAAAGTCAAAAGTAACGGACCGATGAACCTGCAGGAGGGGTAAACCTGACACGTGCCACTCTTTTTATTTTCTTTCTTTTCCTTCATTGCCTCTGGAGTGAGTGGACCTGAACTGAAGTGACGCGGGGTCGACGACCCGATCGCCCGCATGTCGAGTGCCTTTCCCAAACAAAACAGCTGTTCAGATTTAGTGCCAATCCACACCTATCACCAAATGGACTATTTTTCATTGTCGTCCACAAACTAGTGAACTGTTTGACCGGAGACTCTTCTAATGGTGGAGGCTGACACAATAATAACGATAGACTTTCTGTTGATGGAAGATGGTTTTTCTCTATGTTTTAAGTCTGAGGTGTTCATGTTTTTTAGCAGTGTGTGCTCGGTCTGGAGACGTGTCTTGAAACAAACAGGTACTGAAAGCCCACAGATGTGACAGTACCATCCAACACTTACTGGCCAGACCACCAGAACCAGAGGAGTTCTCTTTGTTCTGTTGAAGTTGTTGTTTTAACAGGAAATGTGATCATGTACCGTTGACAAATCTAACCTGATTGTAAGTTTATTCTCTGAGCAGCCTCTCATTCTGTTCAAAAAGAAAAGACTTTTAATACAAATTCATTTTTAAAAAAACAAACAAACCACCAAGTGTTTTGTCTTTGTTGACATCTTTCTCCCCCAGCGCCTCCATCACACCGACTAATTACCAGTTTGCTCAGAACAAACCGTGTTGTCATGAAGAGCCTGCTGAAGACGGCCGTTCTTACACAATAGCTTTGTATATTTACACACAAAAGCCAGACTGAGTTACTCCTAAAACACACAACACTGAAGTAATTACAAGGAATTCTGGGTATTATGTGCAGAAGCTCAGCCACACAGTAGTACTCAGTCAACAGTACAAGTACAATTTGACACTATTCAACCCGTAATTGTTGTACTACCTGGAACAACTGTAGAACGACTGTTGAAAAAAAGAGCGAGGAGGGGGTTCTGTGGGGGAGGGGGCTTTAGAAAGGCTGCAAAATAGATCCAAAATGTCATTTTGTTTCAATGGTGAGAAAAAAGAAAAAAATTACTGCAGCTTTTTTTGCTGCCAGGTCTGTTTTTGTTTTGTTGTTGTTCATAAATGTCAACTCTTCTGTTCTGTTGACATGATACTGCAGTCAGTACGACTGTTCGCTAGAACAAGTACAGAAATACAACCACCTCGAAAAATAGGAACAAATATTTATATGTACAGTACATGTGTCATCTCTGGAGCTGAGTAGTCTCTGATATTAACCAAAAGGATACTAGTAGTACTAGTAGTAGTTTTATTCTGTCGTATAAACAAGTTAAAAAATTACAGACATTCCTTCCATATTGTTTTTTTTAACATCACATAAACATTTCACAGTTTAAATTTTATAATCACCAAAAATAGTATTGACAAGCATTGACAATGAAAAAGCAAAGTACACTGGACTCCATCATCTAAGGAATTTTCAACCTAGAAGTTTAGAGACGAGAGAGTGAAGTGGTTCCAGTCTCTTTGAAGACTTTTATCTTCTAGTTCCAGAACTTCTGGTCTCACATAACAGAGCGTCCTCACAGATGCCTTCCTTTCTTCAAATATGGGATGGATTCCATGTGACTCTACAGAAGAGTCCTCCTGGTGGACGGAGGGTAGTGTCTCCACGCCTGTTTCTCAACTTGTAGGATTGTCTTCACGTCCTAGCGTTGGAAAAACTGCTCCATACAAACGTTTTCATTTTTTCATGTTCTGGACCTCAGGCTGTGTGTGTGTGTGTCTCACTCTGCTTCTGTTTACATACGGGGATTACCTCGTCCCAGCTGGTTGGACTGCAGCAGAATGGCAGCTTCACACAGAGTTCAGTCTTCAGCTCCTAACGCTGCTCTTTAGCCTCCATTATACACATGTGCTGTTGTGGAATGCGCCGTGTGTGTGTGTGTCCAGCTTGGACTTTGTCGAGTGTGTGTTAGCAGAGGTATCAAGTGTAGTCTTGGGCTGTGCCTGGCCCGCAGGCCATGGAGCGGTCGGACAACACCAGGGTGTCATTCAGTCTAAATGTTTTGTTTAACAGGTGTGATCACATGTCTAAGCCATGGATAAAAAAAATCAATATTCAATAATAATTTGATGTTGAACTGCAGCTAAATAAGCTAATATTTCACAGTTAATTACAATAGCTAAGTTTTACACTTTGCCTTAATGTTGTGTCTGTAGATTTTGTTTTGTCATGGAAATTATATTTAAAAAGAAGAGAGAACACAAGCAGCTAAGAAAAGGGGATTTGAATAAATGTAAAAACTTTTTTCATATTTATACAAAAATTACTGAAATTCTAAAGTCCATTTAATGTGCACACTTTGGTCATGCATTCAAATCCATTCCAATTTGAACAAAGCCACCAACTTTCTTAATGAACTTGATGACAACTGTCAACTACTGGACACTTCTAATAAAAAATGGTAGTTCCTTTAGTTTCTCCTACATTAAAGGAAGCGTCTTCCAGTCTGTGTCTCATATTCATAGACTGTACATAAGAAGTGGACCGAGCTACAGTATGTTGCTGCAACCTTGAAGGTTCAGAAGTGAGTAGGAAGAGCTCGGCTGGTGTCACAGGTCAGTGGTGTACCTGTGTCCAATTCTTTTACACCAGTCTGCTATCAAAAACAGCACTGATGGACACATCTGTCCTCAGCCTTTGGCATTACAGTATGTCCCAGATGCAGGAGCTTGAATTTATGCCAACGTCTGAGTCAACCTGTCTGTGGTTTCACCATCTGACAGAAGAATTCGACCTTTAGACTTTCTCTTTCTTTTCTTTTACTCTTACAGAAAAATGAGGCAGTAAAATTTTCAGTTTGCTGCATCATTTGTTGTTTTGTCCCTGTGTCTGTGTCTGTGTCCTTGTTCTTCATCACTTCAATCACCCTCACAGAAATGAAGAGATTTTTTTAATTGGAACAAAGAGACAAGAGTTGTGCCTATGTTTGCAGATGATCTTGCTTGTTTGTGGTGGTTGGTCATGGGAGGTGGTCATGTGATGTGGTTGCCATGGTTAAGGGGGGGTTGGGATGTGGTATGGCTGCTCATGGCCTCATGACCTACAGGAGTTCAGCCACTGGAATGGTGACTGTGGAGAGGAGACTGTCGTTGGGGCTCGTCTTCTTCGTCTTTCTGTCTCCGTCCACACAGATCCTCATCAGAATCAGCTTTATTGGCCAAGTATGAGCACACACATAACCAAATTTGTATTTATACTAGAGGATTCATATGAGGAAACAGTATATACACACATACTTACGTGGAGCTCTTTGACCCACAGATGTCACAGCTGTGGTATTCGTTGCTGCTGGAGTTGGTTTCTTGTTCTGACAGGAAGTGTTGCGACAGCCAGTGCGTGTGGGTGGTGCGTTTGACTTTCTCTTCTTACACAGGACTTAATCACCATATAGGCTCCTCTCTGAATTACAGGCTTCTCTGTCTCTCTCAGCTTCATCGTGCTATTTTTGAAGCCTGTGTTGTTTTAAAATGTGATTTTTTTTTTCTCCTTTTTTTCCTTTCCCAGCAGATGTGCTGTGACGCTCCGTCACAGTATCCGTTTGGTTCGATTGTCCTTTCTCTTTAAACTTTTTTTTAATTGTTTTGACAAATCACATCACTCTTAATTGCAGCCAAAAAGTACATGACAGTGCCTTTGTGCCGGTGCTTGGTTTACACACAGAGCCATTGTAAATCAGCGAGTGTCACTGTCGCTTCCTTTTGTTGCAGCCATTACCATAACAACACAGACGGTTCGCTCCGTGTTTGTCTTCCCTTCAAAGGCTGAATGAGCTTTGTTTTTTCTGGCTTTCACTCACACAGTGACACACACACACACAGTGCAAATGTGCACAAAATCCTGTGTGCATATTTAAACACACTGGAGTTAAAATTCCTGCAGCATTCCAGCACACAGACGTTGGTCAGACATCATCACACACCAGCAGAATCACAGTGGCCGTTAGAATTTAAAATCTGATTAATCGTGATTAATCGTGACTATAATTGATTCCAGTGTGGTGTGACAAACCAACAAACCATTTCTGCTGAGAAGTGAGTGAAGCGAACAGGACCCGACAGGAGAAGACACTCACTGGCACCAGACACAAACCACCGACTCTAACAAGTCCAGACAGAAGGATTACCTTTCTGGGCATCAGTACAGGCACTTCACTCAAATAGTGGCCTGCAGGCCACATGTGGCCCAGACACAACCTCAGAATGGCCCACTCTGTGGTCATCTGAGAAACTATGTTAATGTGACACATTTAAGGTTTTTCCGTTACACTCACATATAAATCAGAATCAGTGTTCATTGGCTGTTACAGTGGTTTCTCAAGAGGGCACGCCCCCCTCTTTGGGAACCACTAACCTGGTGCATATACAAAGAATTTGACCGAGTTACTCAGTCCCTCAGAGTGAGTCATGTGTGCTCCGTGTGCTGAAGTGTGACAGGAGTCGGGGGGAGTAACAGGAGTCACGAGTGATCAGCTCCTTCACTCAGCTCTCTCTTTAAATCAGGGCGTGGCCTCCTCACTCAGAGCTGACTGAGCCTGGATGGGAATGTCCCAGAATTCCTGCCATTCCTGCCATTCCTTCAGATGTAATGTCTGGACATGTCTTGAGCCGGAGTTGAGGGAGAGAGGAGAAGGTTGGGATTTGCAGGATAAGGTGTGGAGTTGGTTGATTAACTGCAACAAAGTCAGTGTTGCTGGAAATGACTTTTCTTGTTCCGCCGTCACTGACCACAGTCTGAGACTGAGGAACGTCACAGCTCAGCTGGAACCAAAGCCAAGGTCAGAGGAGGTCAGAGGACACTGGAGACCAAGAGTCAACATGTGGTGTTCGTTTACTCTGGTCCGCAGACCCCCGCCCCCACCACCACCACTAACACCTGAGTGGTGGCGCTGTTAAACACCTCTTCATTCTTCAGATGATCACAGTAGCTTCCATTTGCCTCGGAGCTGAGTCTGGATATGAAAGTAGGCCAGAGGAGCCAGTCAGACTGGACCAGTTCCCCACCGTCTCCCCCGTGTGGATTCATGTCTTCTGCTCACTGGTGTCACCGAGGACATGTAGTGCTTAAGGACCCAGTTTGTAATTGAGCCCTGTTACAATCAGTGTGTTAATTATAGCAGGTGAAATGTTCAGTAAAATAAGAATTGGGGCATGTCAGTGCCAATTAAGAAATAATTACAAGCCAAGCACAGGCACACTCTACTCCAAACAGGAAGTACAACTAAAAAGGGTTTTTATTATAATCAGAGAAAATACCCAGGGTCATATGTGGTATTTAGTTGTTTTGTTTTGGGGGTTTTTGCCCTCTTGTTTATTTCTGGTGACTAACTCCACTCTCTGATCTCTGATAAGTCAGTGTTATCTCTACTATCACTGTGTGAGTCAGTTGTTTGAAGGTTGTTGTTCTGCAGCAGGACTCTGAGCCGAGGTCTGGGTGTGGTTTCTCACTTGAATGGCAGAGAAGCCTCTGTGTCTTGTGTTGGACTCTGTGTTGGTTTGTCCCTCTGGTTGATCACAGGCTCAGATTAGGAGCCTGGAGGTGACGTCTACATCTGTGGATCCACTATGGAGTCCAGACTGGTTTCAGCAGGTTTCAGTGCTGAACTGAAACTGTTCATCTGGATGGTGTCTCGTAGAACATGTTTCTAAACTCCCGTCATGTCCTCAACAGTATTAATCAGAAGAACGGCCGATGTGCAACAGTTTTCTGAGCCAGAACTTTTCGTTCTTGTTATTAAGATGAGAGGAACTTTGTCAGACTAAGGCTCAAATCTTCATCCACTCCAGTTTTTACTGACTTTAATCAGAGTCTGACCATCAGACTTCTGTTAGAGTCTAACATCTTTGTCACTTTTGTCACTTTTGTCACTCTGGCAGGTTGCACAAGGTCTTTCATAAACTGACAAACCTGGTTGGAGGGGGAGCAAAAACAATAACAGTTTCCCCCGTGTTTAAGTTCAAACTTAATTATTCATTATAACTAAATTAGCTATTAATTAACATTAATTAAATATTATATTGCTGAGCTGTTACCTGGTCAACATTTCTGTTATTTTGAGCTAAAAAAAAGTGGAAGTTGAATCTCCAAAGGCAGGAAGTTGTGGAGGATTCATTCCCTTTACATTTGAAACAAATCATGTATTTTTCCATCCTTTATATTTTCAAAATAAGAGAAAAA